TTTTGTTTATGGATATTGATATACATGTTCAGAGGTTAATACCGGACCAAGTTCCTAGTTATTATGTTAAGTTAAGGTCCCTAATTATTGGACTTACAAGTTAGGTATATACTGACCACTGAATATGAATAGATATTGATATGTATATCAAATAATTACTCAATTTTTATACTTCAATTACAAATAATAATCTTTCTAATTTTAGAATTAAAGTTACCAGAACATATAATCAGGATTTAGCTAAATTGATGTATAAAATGAATGCATTATTGGTGTCAATGAGTGTTAATATGTATTCACAAAACGGTTCAACAGATTGGAGGCAAAGACCCGAATGTTCGCTCATTTTATCACAATTGCAGACATTTATGATAAATAAACCCATTATTGGAGAAAATGAATTCAAATTATATTTTGATGCTATAATTGACAGAAAATGTAACATTTTATATAAAATACTAATGAGAAGCAAACCTTATTGTATAATCGGGATGTCTAATGAAAACATAACTAACGGTTAGACTTTTAATAACAAAAGTACATTATATTAAGTTTTAATTGCCGGATTTTGAAATTTTCAGGTAAATTACAAATGAACACGATAAATGAGTCCATGTTTGAAACAATTAAACAAGTTACCTGTCATATGTTATTGTTTGCTCATATATACTCCGTGCGACATAAACTGACTCAACAAACATATTCATTATTCAAAATGCATATTAAATACGGGTTTAAGGGTAAGAAATAACTAACCAGATTACAGTAAAATGCCACATTTAAATGTGAAATATATTTTATTAAACTTGAAAAATTAATGTTAAATAATTTATGATAGATATGATGCAAACGAATGACTTCTTAATGGATATCCGGCACTTATTTGATGTCAAGTCGAAACATGTACTCAAATATTACTCGTCATGGATTGAACATGGTCATCTATTCATTCAAATGCAATTATGCTCACAAAAGGATCTGAATAAATTTTATAAAAATTTAGCAAAACAATCACTTAAACTATTAAAGAGTGATGAAGGACTCAGAAATCGATACCTGTTCGAGGAGTTTGAAAATTTAGCTCGAGTTGATCCACAAAAATATAAACAAGGGACTTAATAATTGAGTCGTTACGTATTTTATATGCCACTTATTTAAAACTTTATTATTGTTTCACACCTTTACCTGTATTGTCAAATACGTAGAGAATATTTGTTTCTAGAATAGTGAGCTTTCTATGAGTATTACATTGCAGGTGCCAGCAGATAATTTTTAGTATTTCCAAGGATCATTCAAACACAGTTGAGACAACCCCGATACATTCACCCATTGCTGAGATAAATACATTATAAAATATCGATTTTTGACATTTAGGGAATTTTTAAAAATCAACGAAGTAAAATTTCGAGAAATCCAGAAATTACTTTTTTAGAAATGATCTCGCTCATCATTTCCAAAAATCAGAATTCGATTATCACTTATAGTTTTTGAGATCTCGATGACCCCTTCCTCATCCCGGCCCCTTTTGAGCAGGCACAAATAGGGCATATCAACATGTTGGTGCAATAAAACCATATTTCTCAAAAATTTTATATTAATCTAGCTCAACTGTAACATATAGTAATATTAAGACATCGAGTGCAAAGGGTTTTGTCAAACAGTTTATATCTATGGAAACTATTTCATAAAAATAACATTAACCAATAATTAATTTGAAATACTTTATGGTATAATTAAAATTCTATTATGAATAATAAAACATTGTCTATTATAATTTTTAATTAATAATGAATTAAATATTAATTAGTAATTTAATATTTTCTATTATAAAAATATAAATTATATTTATTGGATATGCCATAAAGTATTTCAAATTAATTATTGGTTTATATTATTTTTATGAAATAGTTTCCATAGATATATAATATCCAATAAATCCAATTTATATTTCAATAATAGAAAATATTATATTACCAATAAATATTTAATTCATTAAAAATAATTTAGTATTTTTCGAAACAACAAAAATTTAGCAATTAATAAAATGCAAACTTGCGATATCTTATAATGGCAAATAATATATTGTGTTATTCTGTAACATAGTTATTAAAAGTTTTTATTTGATTTGCGATTAATATACAGAGTATATAAAATACTGTATCATGTTTAGATTAGCTATTTTTGTCAGGAGATACCACAATACCATAATATATACACACAATACCAGTAATATTAAAATATGAATTTTATTAAAAGCACTAGTCTTAAGTTACGTAAAATTAGCAAATATGTAAATTTACAATTTAGACTAATATTGCAATATCTGTTTAATGTTATAATTATAATAATAAATTCAATCCAATATATAACACAACTCATAAAAACAACTTTAAAATCATACGTCAAGTTAATGATAAAACTGTTGTGTCTTTCAGTGCTATTCTATAGTGTAATAAAAGTGACAAAAGATTACTTCAGTTATCGATATGTTTATCGACTGATGGTTAAACCCTCTCAAGGATTACATTTACCGCCGATTAGTATCTGTACGGAAAGGGATGTGCTTTTCGATAAGACCCGGATTATTGACTATTTCAATATAAGTCAAGA